CTTTTTGAAACAGGGTCTCCCTGTAGCCCCAGCTGTCCTGGAACTCACTATGTAGACCAGGCCAGCCTGAACTCACAAAGATCCCCCTGCCTCTGCCTCCCCAGTGCTGGGATTAAAGGCATGCACCACCACACCCAGCTTTATTATTGTTTTTATGTGTATGAGTGTATTGCCTGCATGTATGTGAGTGTACCTGTGTCGTGCAATGCCCCAGAGGTCAGAAGAGGGCTTTGGATTCCCCTGGAACTGTAATTAAGGATGGTTTGTAGCTGCCATGTGGGTGCTGGGAATTGAACCCAGGTCCTCTGTAAGAGCAGTCCTGGTATCTCTTAACACTGAGCCATCTCTCCAGCCCTTTTTTGGTCTTTTTTGAGACAGAGTCTCCCTGTAGCCCCAGCTGGCCTGTAGACCAGGCTGGCCTCGAACTCAAAGAGATCTGCCTGCCTCCACCTCCCAAGTGCTAGGATTAAAGATATGCACCACCACGCTCGGATTAATAAAATTTTTTATTAATTTTTAAAAATTTTATGTGTATTCATGTATTGCCTGCACGTAGGTAAGTGTTCCCATGTTGTGCAATGCCCAGAGGTCAGAAGAGGTTGTCGAATCCCCTGGGACTGGAGTTACAGACAGTTGTTAGCTGCCATTACGAGCGTACTGCCTGCATGTATGTGAGTGCACCCATGTTGTGCAATGTCGTGGAGGTCAGAAGAGGGTTTCAGATTTCCCTGGAACTGGAGTTAAGGACGGTTTGTAGCTACCCTGTGGTTGCTGGGAATCAAACCCGGGTCCTCTGCAAGAGCTGTCAATGCCCTTAACCACTGAGCCTCTTCTGTCCTCCGCGGGCATTGCATGACACAGGTGCACTTTACCTACATGCAGGCAATACACGCATACACATAAAATAAAAATAATAATAAATAAAATATTTTTTAAAAAAAAAGGAAACAAGGTCAGATGTGGTGGCACACACCTTTAATCCCAGCACTTGGGAGGCAGAGGCTGGTAGAGGATCTCTGTGAGTTCGAGGCCAGCCTAGTCTCCATAGCAAATCCAGGCCAGCTCAGGCTACAGGGGGACCCCGTCTCAAAAAGACAAAAAAAAAAAAAAAAAAAAAGGGGGAAACAGGAGAAAATATTTACATATTTTCTTTCTTTCTCCCAATCCCTCTCTATATGTATATGCACATGTACACATACATACTAGAAAGAAATATATTTATTTATATTTATATGTGTGTATATATTTATTTATATATATTTTTTTGAGACAAGATCTTGCTATATAGCCCAAGCTGACCTCTAACTCATTATGCAGCACACAATGGCCTTGAATTCATACTTCTGCCTTAGCCTCCCAAGTGCTAGGACTACAGGAGCCTCTCATCATTTTGGGATTTGCAATGCATGTGTGTATATGTGTGAGTATGGGTTTGTGCATACCATAGCTTGAATGCGGAGATCAAAGGAGCTGGTTTTTTCCTTCTACAGTGAGAACCAGGAATCAAACTCAACTTGCCAGGTTTACACAGCAAGTGCCTTTACCCACTTGCTATGTGTATGCATGAATGCCTGTACATTCATGTATGTGTACCACATGTGTGCGTGGTCCCCATGGAGGCCAGAAAAGGACTTCAAATAAAATTCATGATCCTCCTGTCACAGATTCCAGAGTGCTGGGATTCCAGGTGTGCACTACCATGCCCAGCAAGGAGCATATACTTTATAACTCCATTTATATAAAGTTTGGGGACTTAGAAAATTAAGCTATAGTGACAGAAATAAGAACAATGACTATCTGAAGATTGAGAAGATGATTGCAATGACTAGAAAGGGACACAAGAAACTTTCAGGGGTGAATGAAATATTTTGACATGAAAGACGGCCACTGTTCTAGTGGGTGGGGTGTGTGTGTGTGTATAGTGGGTTTGCATGCCTATGCATGCATAAGCCAGAAGGGGATATTGGGTCTTCTACCATTTGCAAGCCACCATGTGGGTGCTGGGAACTGAACCCAGAGCAATAAATGCTCTTTTTTTTTTTTTTTGTCTTTTTGAAGCAGGGTCTCCTTGTAGCCCCAGCTGTCCTGGAACTCACTATGTAGACCAGGCTGGCCTTGAACTCATAGAGATCCGCCTACCTCTGCCTCCCAAGTGCTGGGACTACAGGCGTGCGCCACCATGCCTGGCTAAATGCTCTTATTTTTTGAGACAGGATCTCTCACTGAACCAGGGCTCACCACTAGGATTTTTTGTTTGTTTGGTTGGTTTTAGTTTGGTTTAGGGAAAGGCCAGATAGCCAGCAAGCTCCCAGGATCCACTGGCCTCTATCCTGTAACCTTTGGGTTATAGGCACATGCAGCCATGCCCAACTTTTATCTGAGTGCTGAGGATTTGAACTCAGGTCCTCTTGCTTTCATAGCAAGTGCTCTTATCCACTGGATCATCTCTCTAGCCCTCATATGAATATTAATAAGAATATTAAGAATAACTACTGCCTAATATGGTAGCACACACCTTTAATGCCAGCACTCAGGAAGCAGAGGTAGGCAGATCTCTGTGAGTTTGAGCCCAGCCTGATCTATATAGCAAATTCCAGGTCAGCCAGGGCTATATAATGAGACCCTGTCTCAAAACTTTTTAATTTAAATTTAAATTAAAAAAAAAATAACTAGGGGGTGGAGAGGTTAAGTGCACTGGCTACTCTTGCAGAGGTCCTAAGTTTGGTTCCCAGCACCTATATGACAGCTAATAACCATTCATAACTTCAGTTCCAGAGGATCCGACACCCTCTTCTAATCTCCATGGGCACTGCATGACACAGGTCCGCTTATGGGTCCACTTACATATATGCAAGAAATACATTCATGCACATAAAATAAAAATAAATATTATAAAGAGTTAAATTTAATATGTTCAATGGCACATAATAAATGCTCAATACATTATGCTGTGTGTGCTTTAAGTAAATAGGAATTACCAAAGCTTTAAGTATTATCACCCTGTGCAAAATTGTACATTCAGCCTTACCTCTCCTCTGATTTCCAGATTTTTCTGTAAGATATGTTCTCCCTAATGACCCCTGTACATCTCCCACAACTTTCAGGTAAAGTCAAGTCTTGCTTAGCCCAGTGTGGTGGCGCACACCTGTAATCCCAACACTCGGGAGGCAGATGCAGGCAGATCTCTATGAGTTCAAGGCTAGCCTGGTCTACATAGCTAGTTCCAGGCCAGCTGGGGATACAGGGAGACCCTGTCTCAAAAATACCAAAAAAAGAAAGTCTTGCTTTCCCTCTCTACCACCTAATAACTCCCCCATGTCTACCACTACCTCAATCCAGCATCCCCATTTCAGTAAATGGTAGCACTGTCCAACCATGTCTCCTATAAAGAAACCTAGAAATCATGAAATCATGCTAAGCCCTCTCATTCCCTCATATTTTTCTGTTGTTGCATCCCTCTTATAATAAATTCCAACAGCTCTATCTGCAAAATATCTCCCTAGGTCATCTGCTGAGTTTAAGCCACAACACTCCTCTCCTACCCAAGCATGAATATTCATGTAATCATGGCATTCTCAACTCAATCTCCATCCTCCCCCCAAAACTCAAGACCAGCTCCTCACTAATGTCTGCAAGGTTAAAGGTTGCTTGAAGACCAAACCAGGCTCCCCTGGAACCTAGACATACCTGTCTTATCTTGTTCTTGCAGATCTGGCCCTTTCCCATCTCAGAGCCTCTGCATCGGTGTCCTCTCAAGCCTGGAAGGCTTTGTCCTGCCCATACCCTGATCCCCTTCTTATAGACTGCATCAAGAGCTTAGTTGACAGGAGAATTAGAGAAGCCAGAAGGGAAGAGGAACCAGAATGGAAGAAACATCAAAAGGTGAACAGATGAGTGTCAAGTGGGGACTGAGATACTGAAAAGCCAGGGGCATGTCAGACAGAAGATAGGTGGAGGTGCGAGTCAAAGTGTAATAGGGTATGAGAGGTGTGGGGACAAGATGGGTGGGTGGAGGATTGCAGTGAAAGGCCGAAACTAAGTGGAAGTGACACGCTAAAAGGAGCTGGTGGTGAAGGCAGGAGACCAGCAGTAAACTGGAATTGTCCTTAACAAGTGAGCAGTCAGCGGCACAAGGACACAAGGTAGCAGGTGGAGAGATTCCATAAAGGAGGGGCACAGTAAGAAGTGTGGGTAGCCGGACGTGGTGGCGCACGCCTTCAGTCCCAGCACTCCGGAGGCAGAGGCAAGTGGATCTCTGTGAGTTCGAGGCCAGCCTGGTCTACATAGTGAGTTCCAGGACAGCTGGGGCTACAGGGAGACACTGTGGGTAAGGAAAATGGGGTGGAAGGAGGAATGGAACACTTAGGGGCAAGGGAAGGTGATGGATGACATCTGAGGGAGGAGGAGCGGAGTGGAAAGAGAGAGCAGCCGGCACTGGCAGCCAGGAGAGGAGCAGCCGCGGAGCACTACCAGGTGGTCACTAGTAGGCCACTGAAAAGGAAGCAAAGGCGTCTAAGGAGGTGAGCCTGGGAACACCAAGGGGGGAACACTGACAACCCCCCTCCCCGGCCCCAATTTCAGGGTCTGTCACATCTTCAAGACAGGGACAGAGGGGCAGAACCTTGGTAGGCAGGGAGGTGTGCCCCTGGGGTGTAGGGGGCGGGAGTAACTGATAAGGAGGCTACGGAGAAGCTGGGACTGACAGAAATGGGGTGGGGGGTGGGGTGGCCGAGAGGGATGTGGACTGTTAAGCACTAGCTTCTTGACTGGAGAGGACTGACTGACTGAATTACAGAATGACTAAATGAATGACTGAATGAATGCATGCATACACGAACGACTGAAACAGCGAATGAATGAACGACCAGGTGGGGGTGCGGGCTGACAGGCGCAGTGACAAAGACGCCCGGAGCTGACGGAGGGGCGCGCGCTGACAGGTCGCGGTCGGAGGGCGGGGGTCCCTCCTCTCCCGGGGCGCCGCCGCGCGCGGCCGCACTCACCTGCCCCGCGGGCCGGGGGTCGCGGCGGCTCCTCGGAGGCCCGAGGGAGGCCAGGGCGCGCCGAGCAGCAGTGCGGACGG